CGCGCTCGCGCGCGCGTGGCGCCGGGCGTGCTCCGTGACGCCGTCGGCGCGCCGGGCCCTCGTGAAGATCCGGCTCCGGAGGAGCCTCGCCTTCGACGACGCGGCGACGGCCGACGAGTACGCCGCGGCGCTCGCCGACTTCGCGCGGAGGCACCGGCGCCGCGACGTGCACCTGTCGCTCGAGCAGGACTTCTCCTTCAAGGGCTGGGACGAGGACGAGCGCATTCTGGGCATCCGGCGGCCCCTGGGCGCGCCGGGCGCGCTCTGGTCGCCCGCGGGCTTCTGGGCCGCGGCCGGCCTCGGGCTCACGGTGCCCTACCGCCTCGCCTTCGAGCGCAAGTGCGCCGTCGCCTCCCTCGACGTCGCCAAGCGCGTGCGCTCCGCGCCCCACGTCGCCCGCGAGGCGGACCCCGTAATATGAGCGTCCGCGAGGCACGACGGGCTCGTCGGCGGTCTCGCCAGGCGTCTCTCTCTAGCGCATGAGGCGACACACCCCGCCTCTCTCTCTAGCGCATTAGACGAGCTAGCCCGCCGGCGCACCGCCTTGGGCGGGCGCGGGCGCTGGGGGCCCTCTACGGTCTCGGCCCCGGGGCGGGTCCGTGAAGACAGCACAAAACAGTCAAAACGGTCCGTCCCGTCTTCGTCCGATCTTAGCATCCTGAGCGCGCGCCCGGCCACTGACGCTCAAGACCGACACCGATACCCCCGCGCGACTCAGCGAAACCGCGTCCCCCCTTTTCGTCGAAATCCGTCGCTCGAGAACCTTGATCTTGTCGAGCGCTCGCTCCCGTTCTCGGAGCCGAGAGATCGAGGCGCCCGGGAGAGGGGCCGTGGACGTACAATAGTACTTCAACGTTAACTAGTGGGTGAAGAGCACCGCGGCCCAGCGCTCCGCCGTGCGCCGGTTCGAGTAGTCCGCGGCGCGCTCCGCGCAGCGGCGGCGCATGCGCGCGTAGAGCGCCGGGTCGTTCCGGAGTTTCGCGATGGCGTCGAGCGCGGCGCGCGGCGAGTCGACCTCGACGTAGTCGAGGTCGTCCTCGCGGAGGCTCCGGTACGCGGGCTCGGGGCCGAGGAGGGCCGGGCAGCCGGCGCACCACGCGTTGACGAGCTTCGTCGGCGGCTTCCGCGCCAGCTCGACGTGCGCCGGCCGCACGGCCAGCGTGAGGTCCGCGGTCCGCTGCGCGGAAGCCCACCTGTGTGGAAATCAACCACTGGTTTGGGGGGTCCCCACCAAACTTCAGAACTCTCTATCTCGGTCAAATCGAAGTCGATTCGGCTGATTTTTGGACGAATCGATTGCTCTCATCAAGTTCTCGACGCACAGCAGAAAACCTCGCGTCGAAACGGTCGCATATGCGCACATTGAAGTCGGGTTGAAGATTTGATTTCCACACAGAAGCCCACTCGGCCGCGCGGCCCTTGTCGACGACGTCGAACTCGACGCCGAGCCGCCGCGCCGCGGCCGCGAAGGCCGGCGACGCGAAGTCGGCGCGGAGCTGGCCCCGGCAGCCGACGAAGACGACGCGCTCGACGGCGTCGCCGCGGCCCGCGTCGCGCGGCTCGAGGCCGCTCTGGGGGAACATGGGCAGCACGAAGCCGCCCGGCCGCCGCTGGCCGTCGTTCTGCACCAAAGTCCGCAGGCCCGCGGCGGCGAGCGTCGGCGCGACGACGTGGTCCGCGACGGTGACGAACGCGTCCGGGTTCGCGGCCTTGAGCGCCGCGAGGTCCGGCACCTGGGGCGGGACGCGACGTGGGCCGCGCGGCGTCCACGCGCTCGCGTTCGATCGGTGTTGAGACAGG